TTACTGCGATTTAAAAATGTGGCTTGCGTGCAAGACAATAAAATGCCAACACTATCTCTCAACCAATTCGTACGTATTTTACAAGGTGGCTAATTCGTACAAATTCGTATGACCTCACTCATGCAATTTTTGTACGATTTGTCTAAACCCCAATGATGGGTAGATTTAGGGGCGGGTTAGGGGTAGGTAATTCGTACGAATTCATACGAATTGGGAAACTCATAAAATACGTATGATTTAGCAAAAAGTATATGAATTTGTATGAGTGAGGTCGTACAAATTCGTACGAATTAGCCACCTTGTAAAATATGTACAAATGGCCATGAGATTGAGTTGAAAATGCCGATAACTTTGTGTGCCTTGCTTTGGCAGGGTTAAGTTGATTCTTTTACAGAATCGTCAAGGAGGGTGCATGACAGGGCTTAGTGGAGAAGATCATCCAGCTCAGATTTTCTCACCAGGGTCTTTAAAGAGAAACATGAGATAATCCCATATACACATTCACACACTGCAAGAAGACCATGTGCCAGCACCCCCAAAAAGAACACCTGTCAGCCTCGGCTGAGGACATGGTGACACACTTTCCTTCCAGGTGCATTCTGGGCCCTCACTCCGGATGATCCTCACCAACATACCCAAAAGCAAGATACTGTCACCCTACTGAACCTAAGCAATGTTGAGACAACTGGCCACAAAATAAATAATGGAAAAAAGCACCGATAGTCACAAAATATGAATGTCTCGGAAACTAGGACACCCACTTGAATGCACAGCATCGAAGTCCTAACTACGAGGGATCAACGAAACTGGGCCAAGTCATTAAAGCACTTTCAATCACAACAGTACTGACAAATTCAAATGATGTGGATATAAGTGCACCATGGTATATGCAGAATTACATGGCCACATATTTAGTAGATTACAGGATTACCGGATTTATATTTCATTGTACTTTTGGTGTGGTTTGTTGTGGTGGCTTATTCCACTGGGATTAAATAAACACCATTGTCCACTGCAGCCAATGAAGTGACACTACAGTTATCAAGATGGGCATGACACAGTTTGATCGTGTTTCAAAGATTAGCCATTGATGCGACTTTACTTGACCCCTATTTGTCAAGACCGTGAGTGCAAAACTGGTGTCCAGCAAGCTACCTGAAACATTTAACACCACCAAATTAGTTGAAAAATGTTTCCAGAACACTCCCCATGTCTGCCATTGGTGGGATAGTCACAAATCACCTGCAAAATGGATTTAATGGATGACCATTTAGAAGGAACAACTACTGGCAAAGAACAGATGTTCTGAATTCAGGCTCCACAAAGAAGCACCCAGATCACAGCCAAAAGTTTTCTAATCTTTCTAATACTACAGCTTGAGAAGCTTATTTCCTATCTCTCTTTCTCTCACACACACATACACAGAGTATTGAAAGCTCAGTAATTTGTTTGCTATCTGGGTGACAGTAGAGGATGCCATTAAAACAAGACTGGGCTGGATAGATGGCAGGAGGCGTAAGTCTTTAGTTCAGCTGGCAGAGCAGGTCAAATACCGATGGCTTCCGAGGGATGAGTTTACATGCCTGCAGAAAACACTTTCCAAATGAACTACAGGAGAATAAATGGTATAGGAAAAAACATAGCAAATTAGTGGTATTTCAAAAAAGCTGAAATGATCTTGGCAAGGAACAGATTAAATATAGGTAATACTTGCAAAATATTGAGAGACCTGTAACAAACTTGTTTAAAGATAATACAGCAGCATGTCATACCAGAAGCACATTAATCCAAGAAGAACATGGAAACAATACTTTGGACAAAAAGTCATCTGTCTAACAAAGTTAAGAAATAAATACAAAAACATTAATCATAGAAAGCATAAAATCAAACATTCAGAAATGATGCGTTCTGATAAAAAAATAAAATACTAGCAACATTTACATAATAAACTTTTTCACATTTTGTGGTTTCTCCAGTAGTTGTGCTGCTACAGTAGATATGCTTCTTATTAGCATGTCAACAGACCTCATTTTGCAGTCTACAACTCCCCCTGGTGGTCTGCAGCAATACAACACCACAAAATAATCATTTAGACTTTAGAATCATTCTGTAAAAAATAAATCACTTATCACATGACCCATGACACTGACCCTTGCTCCATATTTTATTGAAGAAAAACATAAAGGGCCACAAATGTTCTTTCATAGAAAATAAACCAATAGCAATACTACAAATTATTTAACTGTAACATCATTCACAGGGTTACAGTAAATGTACATTTATACAAAATCCAGAGCCTCCTGCTTCACTCACAGTGGTCATGGTGGACAGTACAGTGTGTGTGTGTGTGCGTGTATGATGGGTTAATACCAATGAAAGTGAATGCATACTATTGTATGCGTGTACATGGCCTAATCCACAGTCATACGTTTACCACAAAGAAATTGATTTTTTATCGAATAGAGAGTAAAACGGAAAAAAATTGCCACATTACAATTAAAAATGGTAAAAAAAAGAAAGAAAGTTACACATAAAGGTCTTTTCTAATATATTAACATATGTACATTCTTTTCATACAACCTTATGTTCTGTCGTTATGGTAATGACATATAAAAAAAAAAAAATTAAATCACAATGACAGTCCACTGAGCCTGAAATTATTTTTTTATTCCCTTTATGAATTTGATTCCTGGTGCTTTCGTGAATTGTTAAATTTTCAATTAAAAGGGAAAGAAGAAATTGTTTTGCAGTAATAAATGATGTTGCTAACAAAACATTACACTTTCAGTTTACTAGAAATTTGCCCAACACTCTGAAAAAAATGCAGTTTAATGTAAAATGAAAGCATGGAATATAGATATGGGCATATTTACCTAAATATTGCAGCACATAACCATTAACAGTTCTGAGTTTGTCAGGCAAAGCTTTACAAAGGACAAAGCAGCCTGTCTCACATTAAAAGTCAGTATGCCTACGGAGGAAAACAAGCAAAGGTCGGTAAAAGAGGTGTTCGTGCTGAGAGAGAGCGAGTGAAACAAAAATATGTGAGATTCAGACCTATTAAGAAAGCGAACAAGAGTATTTCTATACAAGTGTAAAGTGTTTAGACGTGGAAGACCAGTCAACAAGTTGATAGGAAGCACATTCACTTTAGAGAGACGGTGTCAAAGTGTCAACTCAACAACTATTTTGGGTTACAAATGTGCCGTGCTCCAGGAAGAGCAACAGACTAGAACTGCTTATTAACCAACACTGTATATACTGAAAACAACAAACAAGCAAGCGTGTATTTTGCGAAGTACTTTACAATAATGATGAATATGTCATGAAGTTTAAATGTGTCAAACATGTCAAAGATATAAAAAAAAAATATGGTCAGTGAAGTTTTTCACTTAGTCCAAGCTCATACTGTCAAAATGACCTTTGCCACACCACTAAAATTCAGATAAACTGCACAAAACTATACAAATAAGAGAGCATATTGATGTTAAAAATGAATAATTCATAAAATGTATCTTTCAATAAAAGCAGACTTTAAGTCTTTTCTAATGTGTCTTTAGGTCTCCCTCTTTTCATCTCATTCTTTAATTTCGTACGCTGCTTTTTGTGTGTGCAGTGCTTCAATTGTGGCAAGAACGTAATACTATTTATTAATGTGGACAACAAAACTTCTACAAACTGGGTACAAAATAAGGCCCGAAAATGAAGTTGGACAGGCCAAATCCAAATTTCAAGTGGGAGACAGGGGCATTTAAAGTATTCAAACCTAGCTACTTTCACTCTAATCTTATGTTAGATAATAGCTTGTCAAACATCTAACAACAAAAACATGGGATTAGTGCCTCTAATGCCTTAAAAAAAGTAATTGGGCAACAAATTGTACCCTATTTGCGAAGTGCCAGAATGTATATATACACACATAATTATATATGTATACATATACATAAATACAAGAAATTGTTAAAATAGTGAAAGAAAAATGTGGGGGGGGGGGACTTTTTCAAAACATGGCATCGGATGAAAAATGAACACTAAGGGACACTTACTATTGTGATAAAAAGTAAACATCAAATTAAATCCGGCATGCACCTCTATTATATTCTGTCGGCAGGCTCTGTGAGGAAATCAGTACAGGAAGTGCTTTCGATATGTGACAAGAACATCTGTAGTACAACACTGGTGCATGATTATATGGTTAATTGGAAAGTAATGGTGTTATAAGTATAAAACAAATAAATAAAACTCATGAAGAAAATAAAAAATATCAAATTACTTTGTACAAAAAAAAAACAAAAAACATACTGAACCAGTACTGGTTGCTTTGCCTACTATTCACATAGTTGAAGTTTTATAATAGTCATCATATTGGCAAATTCTGCCAGCACAAGATCCATCACATGGATCATTCCTCATCATACATGAGCATCACGCATGTATAATTGTTTCTCCTTTTTTCTTGCTATTAGTCCACAGTCCATTTCAGATGCACACCAAAACAAAAGTTTAAATTTTAAATGATCCTGTCAATACATATCTGGTGAATATGGTTGAGAACCAAATCATTTCAAAGAGAAAAGGGGCCAAAATAATGTGCAAGTGGCTACATTTACATGCATGAACAACCTTTTCAACCCTTTTATTCTGCATTTGAAAAAGCTCTGAATAAATTTATACCCAATATAATATAACACTATCATAAAAAGGTGACTGCATTGTATTCTTATTCTGTGAATTCTGTGACATATTCTTCTAATATTTGAATTTTAATGGGTGCACTTTATAAATGCTTTTTTAATGGACCCAGAAGGTGTTCAGAAATACTTTCATTTATTGATTTCAGAACTAATGAACTTCAGCAAAAATAGTTCCTCGGCAGGTGATTTGCAGGTAACCTATAGCACATTTCATAATGTAACAATAGAGAAAGCTGCTTAGAGCAAGGAATTTACATACAAAAGGCAATTATTTTTATGCAAAGGGTATATTTAACGAGGCCGCCACCTTAAATTAGAAATGTATTTTTAAATGTCTATTAAATAATAGATATACCAACAATTATGTGGTTTATTAGAAATACTGCAAAGTCAGAGATAATACTGGAATATAAACTTGCATGTAAATGTAGCCAGAATGACATTTATGGATAATTTTGGCCATTGCAAAGACTACAGCTTGCCTTCAGTGTGCTGGTACTGTATCGAGACCATAGCGGTCTTGCAGGGATCTGTTCTTGATCAACCCCAGAGAAAGTGACTACTGCTGGGCTCTGGACACAGGGCTCGCTGAGGGGGGGGGCGTCTTTCTGTGAGGAGGTCCACAGGGGTCTGGTGTGCACAGGCTGGTCCCAATCCTCCACTCTTAAGAATCAAACCTCCACCGACTGGACCTGGTTCATTTGGGCTCGCATCATCTGCACACTATTGAGAATCTTCTTCTGGTGGCCTGCCAGTGTGACTCCCACCCTCAGAATGTCACTGTGAGGACAGAAAGAGGGCGTCAGAGAAGTGACTGCATAGTGTCACGGTCAAAGAATGATCTAAGCAGACAAGACTATCTATCAAATTTACAGTAATAGGTTTCTGGTGGCTATAGCATCTGGTTCTCTAACTTAGTAATGAATATGATCGTTGTGAATCTGTTGAGCTGTATGGAAGATAGCGAAAACATACTCCATAGTCATCTGAGACACGGCTTCAAAGGTAGTGAGGTCTTCATTGGCAAAGTTCTCTTTGTACTGGCCCATTTTGATGGCGTCCAGCCATTCATCCACTGTGCTGAAGCTGGAGAAGTCTGGTGTGCTGCGGTCCAGCAGAGGTAGATGTATGCTGTAAAACACCCACAGAATCAACATCACTATATGGGACTTAAATCAGGAGCATTAAAAAATGGATTCTACTGTTTTCTATTTTAATATATTTTACTATGTAATTTATTCCTGTGATGCAAAGCTGAATTTTCAGCATCATTACTCCAGTCTTTAGTGCCACAGAATCCTTCAGAAATCATTCTAATATGCTGATTTGCTGCTCAAGAAACTTTAAGGATTTTTTTTTTTAAATAGAAAGTTTAAAAGAACACTTATTTGAAATATAATTTTACCATTATAAATGTCTTTGCTGTCATTTTTGAACAACTGAATGCATCCTTAAAATATTAGTTTACAAATTAAAAAAAACAAAACAAATCTTACTGAACCCCAAACTTGTGGATGGTCGTGTACATTAAAAATTGTAACAAAAATAAAGCATTCTTGGTGAAATGGGAGTCTTTTATGGACAAATCATGACCTATTTTTGAAACCTGTTTATTCTTATAAAACATTATAACTTTGTTTGCCCATTAACATTAGTTGTTACTCTTCAGTCTTACTTTATATTTTTTGATACTTCTTTGTGTATTTGTGTATTATATACTATATATTATGTATTATAATATGATGTAATGTATATTATGTATTGTATAATCTGTATCTGTAATTCAAATTAATACTTAATTTAAAAATTATAAATTGGTCATTTTCTGTATAAACAATATATCTAAACTTAAAATAAATGTTGATTAATTAATAAACTTAAATGATAAAATACTAAAAATATACTTTATATTTTTTGATACTTTGTGTATTTGCGTATTATATACTATATATGATGTATTATAATATTATGTAATGTATATTATGTATAATATTATATAATATTGTGGATTATGTATTATATATTCTATATCGGTAATTCAATTTAATATTTAATTTAAAAATGATAAATTGGTCATTTTCTGTATAAACACTATATCTTAACTTAAAATAAATTTTGATTAATTAATAAACTTAAAAGATAAAATACTGAAAATATACAGTACAAAAATCATCACTTTAAAATGCAAATTAGGCATGTTTTTTTTTTTTTACGATTATACAGTTCAGACTAATGAACTGAACATGATTCAGTGCTCAGTGCTTGCTGTCCCCTTCCAGAATCAAATCTCTTACCCTGAAGAGAGAGGGGTGGTGGCCTTCAGGCTGCCAGGATTACGGATCATCTTATCCAGAGTGTTAACAATCTGATTGAATTTCGGACGGTTGTTTCTGTCCTTCTGCCAGCAGTCTAACATTAGTTGGTGCAGTGCATTTGGACAGTCCATAGGAGGAGGTAACCTATAATCCTGCTCGATAGCATTCATTACCTGGATGGACGGGAAGATAAATGACTTATTAAGCATACTTAATAATACATCAGTATAACAATACAAGAAACATTTTATACACATCTTCTTGAATGCACTTTCAAATGGTGTTTAATGACATTGCCTGTCCACTAGGGGACATCCTTATCCAGCTCTTCATGAAAAAAAGCTTGATTAAAAACGATCATCTCTAGTCATCAACATATAAGAATTGATTTCATACATCTTGATTGCTCATGTCCCAGTAAGGTCGCTCTCCATAGGACATGACCTCCCACATTACGATGCCATAGCTCCACACATCACTCGAGGATGTGAACTTCCTGTATTGAATGGCCTCGGGAGCAGTCCATCGTATTGGAATTTTCCCTCCCTGTGTGGACACTGAATTTAGTTAGGAATATTTCATCAGCATAAAGTATTAGGCGCTGCCACATAGCATTAGGCCACATGACCCATTAAACACACACTCACCAAGGCGCTTGTGTATGTAGGATCTGACGTGTCATCTTCCAAAAAGCGAGAAAGCCCAAAATCGGATACTTTGCAGACTAGATTGCTGTTAACCAGGATGTTGCGGGCAGCCAGATCACGATGTACGTAGTTCATGTCACAGAGGTACTTCATGCCAGCTGCAATGCCGCGCAGCATGCCAACCAACTGGATGGCAGTGAACTGGCCATCGTTTTGCTAAGATGTCAAACAGAGAATACACAAAATATAATCAAATTATGTGTTTAAGACAGGATACACATATGTTTCTTCTCTAGATTAAGGAAAAAAAGCATTTCTAATATTTTAAAATCAGCCTTTCTAAAACATCTTTGTTCTGTGAGCTTGTGTCACAATCTTGTGGCGAAACATCTGGACTTCAGTCCAGCTGTGCCTCTCAGCAGACACATCTGGGCCTTGCCCAGTGGGATCCTGGGTCAGTTAAAAGCAGCACAAGGACAAGTGCCATCACACAATGTGAAATAAAAAGCTTAAATAAATTGGTTTTAGGACAATGTGTGGGCAAAAAATATGAGTTATTTTTTAATTAGGTGCCAAAAATCTAAATTTACAAACCCGATGTAGCATGTAATCATGATTAAATGGCACGTGCAGCCTAATTAAAGGTGCACTTAATTTTTTGCACCTTTAAAAACCCACTACAGTTCAAAAGTTTGGGTTTAATTGATTTCTTGGGTTTTTTTCAGCAAGGCATGCATTAAACTTATCAAAAGCGATAGTAGAGATATTTATAATGTTTTCTATAAAGATTTCTATTTCAATTTCTTTTAAACTTTCCATTCAGTTTCATGTTTTTGACAGAAATTTTAAGAACTGTTTCCAACATTGATAACAATAAGAAACGTTTCTTGAGCAGCAAATCCGCATATTAGAATAATTTCTGAAGGATCATGTGACACTAAAGACTGGAGTAATGATGTTGAAAATTCAGCTTTGCTATCACAAGAATCAATTAAATTGTAAAATATATCAAAATAGAAAACAATTATTGTAAACTAGATAGTAAAGTTCGTAGACAAACTGTAAGTTGGCTTGAAAAAGCCTGGCCGGAAAGTTTGTAAAAGTTTTAAAAGCTTGAAGTTTGAAGGTTTTCAGTTTGAAGTAGTTTGAAATACTTAAAATATAGTTTTAAGTTTGAATGTTTTGAATTCAATACAGTCTTATCAGAAGAACAGACATAGAAAAACAGATTGCTAGAGTACCTGGGATGGCTTCTAGGGTGGTTGCTAGGGTACTCAAGGTGGTTGCTAGGGTGTTTCTAGGGTACCTGGGGTGGTTGCTAAGGTATTGCTATGTGGTTGCTAGGGTACTTGGGGTGGGTGCTGCTATGCGGTTGCTAGGGTGTTATTGTAAATAATAATAATAATAATATTTCATAGTATTACTGTTTCTACTGTATTTTGTGATCCAATAAATGTAGCCTTGGTAAATATATATTAAAAAAAATCTTACTGACCCCAAACATTTGAACTGTAGTGTAAATGTTGCTTTAGAAAAAAAAGAGTAAATGTTTACAATCATGTATACTTAAATAAAATAGCCATATCATAAAATCTATTATATTCTACATAGAGCGGGTCACCTCTTGGTGGCAGGCGTGTTAAGATTACCTAAACAGCTGAATTTTACTGCCATTGGACAGTTTAACTTTATTAATGATGGTTAACTGAGAAATGAGCATTTCTAAAATGGCATCGGTAGCTGAAAACATCTTTTGCATGATGCTGCTTCCACACCACTAGGTGTCAGTAAGTCCAAGACAACTTACAAAATATCAGTGTATGTTGCTGTTGTTATTTTCTTGCAGCAACACTGAAACTTACCCGAAGGAAGGAGTCCAGTGATCCGTTTTCCATGAATTCAGTGATGATCATTACTGGAGTGCTCTTGGTCACCACTCCTTCCAGGTGGATGATGTTGGGATGGTCAAACTGCCCCATGATGCTGGCTTCGCTCAGGAAGTCCCGCCGCTGCTTATCAGTGTAGCCTGATTTCAGAGTCTTAATGGCCACCAGAATCTCCCTCTTCCCAGGAAGCCTGAGATTACCGCTGCATACCTCTCCAAACTCACCTAAAAAGTTCAATTATTAAGACCAGTTGATTACACCTCAGGAAATTTAATTTATAATTCAATTAGATGAAAATAATTAAATTAGCAGCCTGGTTTACTAAAACTTTGTTGCTCCTTTAACAATAATTAAAGGTGTGAACACATTAAAAGCTCCAGGCTTTTGCTAGATTACAGCTGCTTTCTAATTAACGGTTGATTTGCTTATATGCACTCGACTAACTAGATGAGATGCAAAGATGTTGGTTAGGCTGCAAATCAGCACTCTATGCAATTAAATCTATGCATATTAAAATATTCCTAATTTACGTGAAAAGTGACATTCACCTGCACCAATGACTTGCTCGATTTTCACACAGGTCATGTCTATTTCTTTGGCGAACTCGCGCCTGTTCCGTCCAGACCAAAGCAGCCCGGCGCTGGGAACGGACGCTCAGGGGGAAGCATGGGAGTTTGTGAGAACCCGGAAAAGTTCCAGTATGTGGAAAAGAGCGAGACGTGCGCTCCGCGCTGCTCATCAGCCGTGGATGTGTTCTGGTCCAGACAGGATAAAGACTTTGCTTTCATTTGGATGGCTGTTTGGTCCACTCTGTGCTTTGTATCCACGGCTTTCACAGTCTTAACCTTCTTGCTTGACCCACATCGCTTTCAGTACCCGGAGCGACCCATCATCTTCCTCTCCATGTGCTACAACGTTTACTCAGTCGCCTTCATCATTCGATCTGTCGCTGGGGCAGAGAACATTGCGTGTGACCGTGAGAACGGCGAGTTGTACATTATCCAAGAGGGCCTGGAAAGTACGGGATGCACCATAGTCTTCCTCATCCTCTACTATTTTGGCATGGCAAGCTCAATCTGGTGGGTCATCCTCACCCTCACTTGGTTCCTGGCGGCAGGTAAGAAATGGGGTCACGAGGCTATTGAGTCACACAGCAGTTACTTCCACATGGCTGCGTGGGGCATACCTGCGCTGAAGACCATAGTCATCCTCACCATGCGGAAAGTGGCAGGCGACGAGCTCACCGGACTGTGCTATGTGGGCAGTATGGACGTGGGGGCGCTAACGGGCTTTGTCCTTGTGCCTCTGTCCTGTTACCTCGTCATCGGGACGTCTTTTATCCTCACCGGCTTTGTGGCGCTTTTCCATATCCGAAAGGTTATGAAGACCGAAGGCACCAACACAGAAAAGCTAGAAAAGCTGATGGTGAAAATCGGCATCTACTCCATCCTGTACACAGTTCCCGCCACCTGCGTCATCATTTGCTACTTCTACGAACGTCTCAACATGGACTACTGGAAATTTCGAGGGCTGCAAAGCAAATGCACCACATACCCGGGTCGGAGGAACGAGGACTGCTCCCTGGAGTCTTCGGTGCCCACCGTGGCTGTGTTCATGCTGAAGATCTTCATGTCACTGGTGGTGGGCATCACCAGTGGCGTGTGGGTCTGGAGCTCCAAGACGCTGCAGACTTGGCAGGGGCTGTGTAGCAGGAAGCTGACAGACAGGACTTGCAGGAAGCACTGCAGTGGGAGCTGCAGCACCAGTCACTGCCACTACAAAGCACCTGCCGTTATACTGCACATGTCAAAGACTGATCCCTACTTGGACTGTCCCACTCGTGTATGACCACAGCTCTGAGACTGTGGCCTCATCTGTGATGTACCGTACTGTGGACTTTGTGAGAATAAGACATACGGTGCAGTGAAGCTTTATGGTGAAGCAAACCAACTTAAAACCCAACATTGCAGCTAAACAATGGATTAACAGTACTTGTTAGTTAAAGGGAGAATTTAATTAATGCTTGCTGTAGCACAAAATGAGACAGATATGCACATCCTAATCAGTTATAAATATCTGCAATCGCTCTTGCATGGAGAAGTGCACAGTGTCCCCATCTAAAAGCGATTCAATGACTTGTTAAAATGTTTAATTGTTCAAATGTTTCAGGACTTCTATTTATTGTATATATATATATATATATATATATTTAATTGTGCTTATATTTTCACAACCAATACGCCACAGACTTGTAAAATAGTTTGAGATTTAAGTATACATTAACTTGAAAAATCTATTAATTTTAAAATAAATGTTTTTGTCCCATATCTCAATGAATCAGTGATGTATATTTATCTAATTAAATTATCTGTCAATATTATAATACCCATCAATGACACAGAATCATATGGCAAACAAAATAAATCATAAAGTTGGAGTATTCTGAGCATGTAAGCGCTTTTGGGAGAGGAAATGAAGTAAAAATGAATTATGGTTTGTGCATGTACAGCACATGCTGAGTCAACTAGCAGATTTGATCAATACCATATGAACCATTTCAGTACACTGCAAGTGTGGTATTGTGTGGTAAAATCTTCAAATTGTAAGTAAGTTGTGCTGTGGTTTAAATGTTATGTTTATATGTGCTGTGCAGCAGTCCGCTGTTTTCATTTATTGACTTGAGCCTTGTTTAAAAAGATCAAGTAAATATTATAAGCACAAATGAACTATTATAAAGTCACTGAATGGTTTACTCACTGTGGCCGCTGGTGTAATGCTGAAGCTTGTCAGTGTATTCAGATTCTGTCCTGTCACTGCCTCTCCTGATGAGACCCCAACAGGAAAAGAAGAAAAAGTCAGAAAAAAGGGGGCTACTTTGAAACACTATTTCTTAGTTTATAAGAGACAGAGGAAATCAAACATCTGTTCAGTTTTGTGTAATCCATTCCAGATCATGGTAAGCAACAGACTCACCGATTACAGACGATAATGAGCACAACCACAGCGATGAGAAAAACAACACCAGCAGCAGCAGAGCCGATTATGAGGGGCAGTTTCTCCTGCAGGCTGGAGTTGTACTCCTCTTCAGATGTACACATGGTGGACACAAAATCAGATCAGTTCTTGTGCCTTTATGATTTTTAATAATAAAAAAGGTTATAGCATTTATTTTGGGGGAAAAAAGTCTCTTTGCATACTGTCTGTACTAAAACATTTCCTGCTTTAGCCAAGGACATTTCGGGTTTTGCAACAGAACAGCACACTTTAAATAGGAAAATTATCATTTAAAATTCACAGAGGCCTTTATCAATCTAAATGTTGGCACAAAGACAAGATACACACACAATATACTACCATTCAAATTATTAAGGTCAGTGTAATTTTTGTTTTTGAAAGAAGTCTCTTATGCTCACCAAGGCTGCATTTACTTGATCAAAAATAAATAAAATAAAAAGTCTCATCTTGCAAATTAAAAATAAAAACGGTTATATTACTATATATTATTATATTATAATAATAATAATATTACATAATTATTATTATATTATGATTATACTATTATTATTATATATTAGGGGTGTAACGGAAAACGTATTCGTACCGAAAATTTTCAGTATGCATCTTTAGGTTTGGTATACATGTGTCCCGAAGAAATACAGCATTGTTTTATTTTTATAGTATTATTATTATCTATTATTATAGTTAAATTTCATTGGTAACTTCCAATTTTATATATTATTACTTTGGCAAAAAAAAGTCTCATCTTGCAAATTATGACAATTTTTTTAGGAAATTCAATAAATGCTGTTCTTTGCTATGGCGCGACATATTGCCGTTTAAACGGCAGTTCAAACTGCAACGCAGAGTGCGAGTGAACGTGATCATCCCTTCCTCTTTACTACTAGTTTTAACGCAAAATGAACATGAGTGAACATCTGCCTCATGTAATCGCTCAATCAGTGTTTCAACCGCGGAAAGACGTCAAAAAGCATCACGTAGCATTTACATTTACCTCAGGCAAATCATCCACAGCTTGTTAATTCATTAGAGAAATGAAGTCTAGAGAAGAGTATTTCGTGAAGTATTATACTAAATACTAAATAAATATTTTACTTTACTGTTAATGATGTCTTAATTATTTAATGCATGTTTAAATAAATCTGTTATGAAACAAGTTATGTGTAAATTAATACTTTACTGTATTTCAACAACAAATAGAAATTTTATAATTTAGAAATTAATTTAAAAACGGTTTTCTGTTTTAATATATTTTAGAATGTAGTTTATTCCTGTGACAGCAAAGTTGAATTTTTGGCAGCCAATATTGCTGTAAACAAAATGTCACGTAATTTTTTGCAACTTAATACATTTTTCCTGGTGCTCTGCAATGAATAAAAAGTTCAAAAGAACACCATTTATTGGAAATCGAAATCTTTTTTTAAAGGGGTCATCGGATGCAAAATTCACTTTTACATGTTGTTTGAACTGAAATGTGTCTTGGCAGTGTACGTACACAACCACCCTATAATGATAAAAATCCACCCAGTGTTTTTTGTTTTTTAAATATTGATAAATCATGACCCCTTTCTAAAATCAAGTCATTCTCAGATTCTTGGCTGTGTGACATCACACAGGCCAAGGCCCCTCCCACGATTGTTGATTGACACTGGTGTTTTACCTTAGACCCGCCCTGAGTAAGCTGACATCAGTCCGCCATTGTTTCGACGCCGGAGCATGGGTAGACAAGAATGTCTCCTAAGCGATTGAGGTGTTTTGTTGTTGGATGTAATAATGAACATAGCAGTCGTCATTTACTCCCGACATCTGAGCCGCTGAAGACGCAGTGGGTTACATTTGTTTTTGAAGGGAATGCGCCCCCGATCTACTTAAATGTGTTTATGTTCGCGCAAATCATTCGTGATCCAGCTTCAACTCCAGAAGAAGTGAGTGCAAGTTTTTTTAATGAATTTTGCAAATCGCGTTTCCTAATAATGTGCTAGTTAGCAAGTTTCACAATGAATGCGGCTAAAGTTTACAATCTCTCAGAGAACTGCGCGTCACCCCACGGAAGAGAGGGGCGGGGTGAGCAGAGATCATTAGCATTTAAAGGGAAATGCACTGAAACGGCTTGCTGTGAACAGAGCTGTTTTTGACAGGGTAAAAAGGGTGTTGTTTTACACTACCATTGAGAAATTTTAACTAAAGTATGTTATAGACTTTTCATTCAAGATCAACTTGTGGAAAATGGGCATCTGATGACCCCTTTAACATTATACATGTCTTTACTGTCACTTTTGATCCATGTAATGCATCCTTGCTGAATAAAATATTTATTTCAAAAACTTTCTTACTGACCCCAAACTTCTGAATGGTAGTGTACACAGAAAGTTGACTCAATTTGTCTCAAATATTTTTGTTTGTTTCCACATTTCATATTACAGTATTGTTGAAGTCTTCGTTCTGATTGGCTGACAAACCTTCTTAAGCTGTTGATTCATCTTCAACAATTTTATTTTATTTTTTTTACATGTGTGACACCTTAAAGGGATAGTTCACCCAAAAATGAAAATTTGATGTTTATCTGCTTACCCCCAGGGCATCCAAGATGGCACTGTGTAAACAATGAGTGACGTATACGCGCGAGAGATCACTTCCGGCGCTTCCGTAAACTACGCCAGAGCGCGTACACACCTCATCGGATGCCGTGCGCGCTGTGACGAGCACCCCGAAACTGCATCAGCGTCGCCCTGGAAACAAGCGAGGAGCACCTGGCCGTCCTCATCACAGGCTGATCGGTCACAGCTGCAGCTCATCAGGCGGCGGCCACATAAGCAACCCCCACCTCTCGGCTGCCCAGAAGAGGGAGCTGCAGCACCTGGTCGGTCAGTTCTCGGATGTGTTCTCTTCTCTTACCGGGCAGACCAGCATCCTGCAGCACGACATCCGGAAGCCGCCAGGGGTCGTCGTCAGGCAACGGCCCTACCGTGTCC